GTATTGGTGATACTGATCCGATACTGATACTTTGTGATAAACACATAATGTGTCTGTTAAATCTTAAAGGGATCCCTGATTAGTTGTAACATTAGACTTTATTTAATAAACATATATTTTAACTGTAAAATAAAGACTGTAAAAATACTGTAGGACAGAGGTGGGCAATCCTGGTCCTCGAGGGCCGCAGCCCTACAGGTTTTATGTTTTCCCTGCTCCAGCACACCTGATTCAGACATTGAATGGTAAATGGTACTGAACTTATAGAGCGCTTTTCAAGTCCCTCCAGACCCCCAAAGCGCTTTACACTAACAGACATTCACCCATTCACACTCACATTCACACACTGATGATGGCAAACTACACTGTAGCCACAGCTGCCCTGGGGCGCACTGACAGAGGTGGGGCTGCCATGCATCGGCGTCACCGGACCCTCTGACCACCATCAGTAGGCAAGGTGGGTGAAGTGTCTTGCCCAAGGACACAACGACTGAGATGGCTGGACAGGGGATTGAACCAGTGACCTTCTGGTTCCAGGACGACTCCCCTAACCACTCCGCCACAGCCGCCCCTCAGAGTCACGTCATCTGACGTGATGACGTTTATGAGCGGTGGCAACGTAGGTTTTTTACATGCGACGTGGGTTGACGTACTGACGTTTGTGAATGGCGGTTACGTATTTTGTTTTTGTTTTCATACGTGCTGTAGCTCGCTGGCTTTAATCCACGAATTAAACTTGTCTGGCCAATTTTTCCAGCTGACCAGAACCTGTCGTTCACCTCTGAACGTGCGTTTTTTCAACACTTTATCCACCTGGTACACTCTCTCACGGTCTATTTCGATCTTTTGTAATTCCTGTTCGTGGAAAGACCCCTTTATCTTTTCACCATCAAAGTCTATAATTTTGTAAACAGCTGGATTTCGATAGAGGCATTCTGAGATTGTAAATATTTCATCAGTGAAATGTTGTTGGTATTTCTTATCAAAAACACCATGTAGTTTAGAGATTCTAACGTGATAACCTTTCTTGAGATTAAATTTGCATTTAACCCGTTTAACAGCTCCGTACAAATTGTGTAAAACTTGCAGTTTTCAGCAGATACATCAATAGGGTGCATTTTAATGCTTGAATGAAAAGACTCGTAACTTTTTACAAAGTCCTGAAGAGCGTCCACGTAACGCAACGTGTTTCCAGCAGTAAAAAATTTCCACATTCTGGTTTTGAGCATTCTG